TCTTAATGTTGCCTGGAACCATGGCTATATTTTTTGAACCATAATTCTTTCAGTGGCATAAAATTTTAACTACATGATGCAGTTATCACACATTGAAAGGACGATAATGGTTCAGCAACAACCAGTGTAATGCTTCTAAATAAGCAATCTACTAATCATTAAAAGCACAGATCTTTAATAAACATGGGATTTCACATGCCTTCCATCATCACGTATGAAGCCCTGATGCCAAGTTGGTGTGACTTGGTAGCCTTCCAAAACGCGATTAGAAAATTCCTAGATTGTCACACAAAGATAACTGTTCAGAATTTGAAAGAAGTCTTTGCAAGTCATAAGACTGTAGAGAACTTAAAATACATGAATCACCAGAAAGACAACTAGAAATATGAGACGTCACCAGAAAATTCCTAGATTGTCACACAAAGATAACTGTACTGAATTTTTTTCTTTTCAGAGATATTTTTTTACTTTCAGTTACTCAACAGCAGAAGCAGTTAAAATATCAACAAGAAATGTCACAACAAGATACTTAGTAAGCATGTTAAGGCAACATAGAATGGGAAGCAGAGCAATATATATGAAGTGGGAGTAAATCAATCTTCTTACACAGTTACCTGCAAAAAAAATCTCCTTACATAGTTGTTAAGACTGTGCCAGAAACAAGGAACAGAAATAAAGCATTGATCAAGTATAGAGCTTCAAGACATACAAATCTGTTAATTCAGTGGAAAACCTTGCAGAGTCTAGCAAGTTAGATGAAGCCTTTTCAAATGGTTCACTAGGTAGCAAGTAGATATGGAACAGCTCGGCACATGCCATTCAATGTGTTCTAGTAGGAAGTCATACCAAGGAAGAAAAAACTTTAGATCATCAAACTGGCTCTCAAATTTTATAAGAAGCCATAAATCATCTACCTGAGGAGGGATTTCCCGCTCCGGGGGAGTTGAGCCTTTATTGGGAATGAAAGTGTTTCCGAGAATTAGCTCATGTCTACCTATCGAATTGCAGCTTATTAATTGGGAAATCCACGGAGTGTTGAATTACAAAAGTTCAAGCAAAGAAGGAAAGTAATACTACTTGTCAGACAACAGAAAACTGAGTGAAATAAGTTTGCATCTTGGTTTAGTTTGGCTGCTTTTTAACATGCAGTAACTCTTCATAGGTAAATAAACGGGGCTTCCAAGAAAACGCAGTTGACCTATACTTCTCTAAGCATGTAAATTGACCACGAAAATGTTAACAGGAATATTTGTTGAAGAGAAATAATGAGATATTAGTATAGGTCTATTATGCTTTACAATGTATTGAAATATAAGTTAGTGGTTAAAACTACATTTCTGTGACCGTGATGATGTCTGAAATACCGCTATTTTGTGACTGAAGGTACTAGTTGATGTCCGATAACCTCTTGTTTGGACTTTGGAGCATACTTTTTAAAAACTGGACCAGATTAGTGGTTCAACCGAATAAAACTGAGTAGTGGTTCAACTGGGAAAAATCAGACCCAATTCTCTGGTCTGGTTCTCAATCATTTTGAGATTTCTTGAATAGAAATAACGGATTATGCAATGTAGAGCTAATTCTTTGAGAATTTTTATTCATGATGGATTATCCAGCTTCATTTTTGTATTTTCATCAGATGCGGACCATAAATAAGAACTCAGATATATATATATGACAGCACAATTCCCATTTCATTAGAACAGATAGGAATAATACCACTTATTTTGATTCTATAAACCTCGTTGCAAGAAATACAGCTCCACCAGTTAATATACAGAGAATGACAGTACCATACACAACACAATCTTATTATGTCCACTTAATCTTAATAACTGAGATGTTTTTAGGGAAGAAGTGCCAGAAAAGAAGCATTTGTCAGGAAAAAACAATTGAAGAGAAGAGATTGAACAAGCATCTTACTCCCCCAAAAGTTGTTTGATTTTTCAGAGAACTGGCATATGTACTTGTCATCCGCACCAAGAATCTGCGCTCCCACCCCGGTAAACCGTGGACCATACAATGTCTGGTCGAGAGCAGTCATCCCATCACGAAAGAATGGGTTCTCAACAGAGTACATGAAACAGAAGCTCTGCCTGCATTCTGGAATGGACACCTTGAAGTACCATCCTTCAAAGAAAGCCCTGGCGGTTCCATCATAGTGATACCTGCAAAACAGTTCATCACCACTATTAGCCTCTGAATCTCCTGCAACATGAACATAGTGTCACATCACAGTCCTGGCAGCTTGTGAATGCAGAGTAGCACATTAGCAGCATTCTACAGAATCTCAGCCCGCCCCACTTGAGAGCTGCATCATGTCGGGTCGGGGTTAAATTCAGCGAGCCCTTATTCAGAAAACCAAGCATGCGGACGGCTGGGGGTGAATCTGTGAGCTAGAGTTACTACATTTCTTCAATCAAAACAACAAATCGCCCTGCGCCTGATTCAGGAACTCCGATACCATATACAGAAATGAACGAACCCTCCGAATCGGCCGTTTATATAAGTACCCGCTGTGCGGCGTCCGCAGAGGCCGATCCCGCGGAGTGGGGGCGTAGACGGGCGCCGCCGCCGGCGGCTCGGTGGCGGCGCGTGGGCTGAGGCTGCAGCGGGCGCGGGGGCGCCACCAGAGCGGTCGCAGGGCGCGGGGCGCTGGCCTGGCGGTCGGCACGAAAGCGGTGGCGGGGCCGGCGACGTTCATGTGGCTGAGCAGCGGGGCTATGGCGTGGGGGCGCACGCGGGAGAGTTGCGCTGGTCCCCGTTGCGTCTCTGGTTTTACTCCAGCCGTGGAGCGGTCGGCACTCGTTGCCTCGCTGAACGGTGGCCAGTCCAAGTGTCCAGCTGCACTCGTGGCGGACGAGATGCTCGACAGGTTGCGTTTTGCATGCGGGGATCGTCTTGCCACGCGGTGGGTTCAGAGACTCGTCCTTCACATTTTTTCTGGGGGTGCACACATGAACCATTTTTATATGAACTATATACGGAGAGTGGCGTTTTAGCTCCTAGGTGCATATGCACCCATTGTCGAAATCCAAATTCCTAGAAGTTGAAAAATTCGAAACAAAAATCCCGCGTGTATATCCGGACATTTTATGTGCGTTCACAAGGTTTCGGTGAAAAACGACGTTTTTTGTGGCTTGTGTAAAAAAGACAATTTCTGATGCTTCATTCTAACTATTCACGAGGCATTTCTTTATCTTTTTTACACAAGCCACAAAAAACGTCGTTTTTCACTGAAACCTTGTGAACGCACATAAAATGTCCGGATATACACGCGGGATTTTTGTTTCGAATTTTTTAACTTCTCGGAATTTGGATTTCGACAATGGGTGCATATGCACCTAGGAG